GGTTAGGTTTTGAGCAGAAGCTCTGCTAGATGGTGCGCAGCCTAGTTGTGCTCTACACGGTGCTCACCAGCTCTGACCGCCGGGAACCCGAGCTGGGGCCGCCGCGCAGCCGCCCCAGCCCACGCCCGCAGCGGGGAGGGGAGAAAGGGGAAAGATAAGAAGGGGGGAAAAGGCCACCGGAGGAGGGGCAGGGGGCGGGGGGCCAGGAGCCGCAAGTTCCCGGCTGAAAATTCCACGGAAGGGGGAGGGGAGTCCCCTCTCCAGTTCCCGCCACCCCCACCCCACCCCCCAATTATCTGGAAATTACTTCCAACCTCCTCGGGCACTTCTGACTCCCTCCTCCACTTCCAGGCGGACAAAGCCCTTTGCCGAGGAAACCCGGCTTCCCTCTGGGAAGAGGGCCAGGTCCCTGGGAGCCGCTCTCCCCCAGCCTCCCCGGACCCTGCTCCAAACCACGGTGTCACCGCAGGCCAGCGGGCCGCCCAGGGCCGCAGGGCGGGCAGCGGGCACCAGCTCTTCCGAGAGAGAGCGCGGCTTCTCCTCGGATGGAGCCCCGTATTTGTATTTGATTTATTTTTTATTTTGTAGCACAAACAGAAATCCATAAACTGTCGGTTCAGCACCATTGACTCTTTGATCAGTTACTGGGCTATTTCTTTCCTTTCTCCCCCTCGATCCGGTCAGTGAGAGGAGATTAAATGCCTTTATTTCCAGCCCTGCTTATACTGCAAAGGTCCGTGGCTAAATGAACAATAAAAGTGCACTTGAAACCAGCCCTCCTGCTCTCGCAACAACAGGAAAACTTAGGGATGCCGACCTCCGCCGCTTCCTCCCACCGCAGCGTTCTCTGAAAACGTCAGTCCTTACATACAAAGAAATAAAAGCACCCCGTCCACCCGCAGCCCCACTTCCAGAGGCTTCCCTGCATCCGAGTGAAATCATGACCGAAGGGCACGCCGCCTGTCTTCCTCAGAAAGAGCGGAGTTTACCATCAGATCTGTTTTTTACTCTCAGAGAAAACCGCACTGTTTCGCACCGCAGACATTAAAATCTAGCACGCGGGTAGCCTAGGGAAGGACAAACTTTCTAGAGGGCAAGTAAAATCAGAAAACTAATTGCCCAGCAGAGCGGGAGGCACGCGCGCCTGGCTGCAGAAGCCGGGAGGCGCTTTCACTGGCTCGCATTCTTCAAGTTCGCATCAGAAACCGAGACTCCACTTTCATTTCCAAGCCTGAAGCCCAGCCTGGAACTATATTTTAAATCAATCTGTGCCAAGTGGATTTAATTTACACATCGGACCTGCCCCTCCCCCAACCTCTATTTTTTAAGAAAAGGCGGGGAGGGGATCTTTAAAACAACTGAACAACAACGTACTACCCAGCACAAACCCAGCCAGAAACTGCACAATGTCAAAAAGCAAGGAAGTGCTTTTCTGCACTTAATGACATTTCCGAGAGCCAATAGTTATCCTCGGGAAAGTTGACCAAGACAGGTTAAATAATTTAATAAGGACCTGCTTGTAATTATGTTATTTACAAGGTATGACAGAGGGTGGGAGCAGGAGCCAGAGCGGCTCACGGAGCAATGGGCGGGTTTGGGTGACCCCTGGAGCTCGGAGTTTGAATTATGGAGATGGGGGGCCGAGAGGTGAAGATGGACTAGAGGAGAACAAGGTGACTTTTCACCCCAACACATTTAACTTTTAAATTCAAATAAACGTCTCGTGTTACTAGACTATCACACTGGAAAGGAGGGAGAGTGAACTAATCAAGCCCCACTCACTGGGCTTTGGAAAGGAGTTAGTTGCCATTGTTACAGGGAGAAAAAAAAATCAATGAAATAAGTCCAAGGAGAGAGAGAGAGAAACAAAACAAAACAAAACGCGTTTAAAAATACACGGAAAGGGGCATCTTGGAATTTTTCTGTCAAATATTAATTACCATAATTAATTAAGAGAGAATCTGAATCCCATCACAAGCCATTTAATAAAGCATATCTGTCCTGTTCTAATGACAACCTAAACTATTTCACCAATTGCTTCATTTATTCCAATAAATATGGAATTCTCATTAGCATGTCAAGGAAACTAAGTGAAAAACAAAAACACACAGATCCATTTGTCAGTCTGCTCCTCTCTGAACCCCGGACAAGCCCAGCTGAGCAGTGAAAACTCATGCAGATGCTTAAACTTTCTCACCTGTTTGGTCATGGAATCTATGAGGCGAACATACAGATCCTGTTCCGTTCTCACTCCTGCAAGAGAGAGAGAGAGAGAGAGAGAGAGAGAGAGAGAGAGAGAGAGAGAGAGGTAGAGAAGTACCCATCAGTTTAGCAAGGGCACCCGGGCACAGGAAGTCCAGGGCTCAGGGACTGCAGCCGCAAACTTAAGGCTTGGCCTTTTAAAAGGCAAGAAAGAAAACCCCAATCGCTTCTCGCTTTTTTTTTTTTTTTCTTTTCCTAATTAACCTTCGGACTCCCAGGGTTTGCCTTGAAAGGTGCAAGAAATGTGCCCAGCTGAGTGCAGGCCTGGCTGCCATACCACAGGCCCATGTGGTCATTTATTTTTAGAAAACAGAAAGCAAGATATGGAAACAGAGTCTGAACTCTTTCTAACGTCTCTCGAGGATTTTTAAGAACCTGGAGCCCGGGCAGCAAGTTACGCCGGGTTTACCAGAGCCACCCCCATCTCAATAATTAACATTAATTTGCAAAATTGAAAAAAGTCACTTAGAAGTGATGTTCAGCTGGAGCGCCTATCGACCCGCTTTTTACTTTCTACTTCAAGCCCTACCGGTTAATCATGTGAAGTGCCATCGACTTATTGATCGTTTATGTTTTGTTTTCCTTCTATGCCATGAGAAGATTTCGTGTTTACATCCATGTCATTTTAATCTCAAAATCTTTATGTCCTTTAAGCATCTCGGGCAAGGAGAGAGCGAGGGAGCCGGGCAGGGGCGAGGAGGCGGCAGCAGCGGCCACTTACCATTGCTGTACAACAGCTGGAGTTTATAGTGGATGCCGTTGTTGGTTTTCTCGTTGTTGGGCTCCTGAAAGTAACGACAAATAATTGCATTTAGTGCGGCCGGCGTCCGCGCGGCCACCGCGCTCGGTCCCCCTGCACGACCGAGGCCCCCCGGCCTCACGCAGCGCAGGATTCCTAGCTCGGAGCGGCGCGGTGATGTCACTGTCCTGCTAGCAGCCCCGCGCCCTCCTGGCCCCGCGTGAGTCCGGGGGCGCGCGGGAGTCGAGCATCCCTCCGCGGGCCGGCCGGCGCTCGGGGCGAATGGGTGACCCTGGCCTAGCAGCCAGTCATTGTGCGCTCAGCACACAGCCAGCAGTGGAGTGACATAAAAGAT